GGAAACATTCTGTCACTGCCGGCCCTCTCTCCTCCAGCTCTTGGCTCTCTTGCTCTCACTGCAGCACACGCCTCCTAACCAGGAGGCCCTCCCATCGTCCTCCAGCCTTCCTGGGCCGTTTCTCCGAAAGTCCTGCCGTTGTTTCCTGGCTTTCCGCTTCCCCCACCCCCCCGTGCGCGTGTCTGAGCTCTCGTGTCCCGAACGGCCTCTGTGGCCTCCTGGTTTGCCCCCCTCTACTGTGTCTCACAGCAGGCGCTTTCGAGGTGCTGGCAGTCCCTTGGTTACAGGAGCCAGGCACATAGCAGACAGTGTCACTCTGCGGTAGAGGCGCGAGGCCCTGGGTCCATCCCAGCATCCCCCCCAAAGCAGCGCCCTCCCACCTGACGAGGAAGGGTTGGCACCTTGCTGCTGCCTGTCCTCGACCTCAGGCCCCACACCAGAACCTCTCCCTGCTGGGCTTTGAGCTAGAAGGACCATGAGGCCAAGCATGGTGGCACATACCTGTAATTCCAGCATTTGGGAGGCTGAGGCAGGAGGGTCACCATGAATTCAAGGCCAATCTGGGCTACATAGTGAGTTCAAGGCCAGCCTGAACTACATAGTGAGACCCTGTCTCAAAAAAAAAGGCCACAAGTGGGGCCTCTGCCTGGGACATGGTTAGAGCTGCCGCATGGTGAGCTGTGGCAGAGGCGGGTGCAGCGCCACACGTGGATCTCAGCAGCCACCCAGCAGACGCCAGTGATGGCTCTGGAGGGGAGACAGAGAGGCTTGGGACCGGGCCGGCCCTGCCGAGCACAGGCACAGCGTCCCGGATAGTGTCCTCAGCGTGGCTCCCTGCAGGTGGACAGGGCTCCGCCCCGCTGTATCCTGCAGCCACCTCCAGATACATGCGCAGCGGTGCAGGAGGCCCGAGCGGGCTCTGAACGCGGGCTGGAGTAGGAATAGACAAGCTGAGGGAAGAGGCTGCGCTGGGAGGGAAACAAATGAGAAAGGTTGTGCAAGAAGGCACAACCAGTGCCCGTGCTGCACTAGCTTCCAGTGCTGGAACAAAATACGTACTGACAACTTCAAGAAAGAGGGTCTGCTTCAGCTCACGGCTTTGGTCCGTGTGGGCCGCTCCCAGCACAGGCCTGGCACAGGGTCAGCTGGGGGCGGCTCCTCACCCCATGGGGGCCAGGAAGCAGACAGCAAGGAAGAGCTAGGGACCACGGCCCACCAGACACACGCAGAGTGAGCTCCCCCAGTCTCCTGGGCCTCAGCCAGTGACTTTGACAGTCACGAGTAACACATTTTACGTGGATTAGGGGGCGATGACACAGCTCAGGGGCACAAGCACAAGGTCCTGAGTTTGATTCCTGGTACCAAAAAAAATGGATTAGAGTCTAAAGCAGAGAGAAAAGGAGAGGGAAAGAGGTATGCCGAGAGCTCTGCAGTTGGTCGGCCTGCCTCTCTCTGTCTCTTGCAGTACAGGGAATTGAACCCAGGACCTTCACATGGAGCAACAGCTCCATCCCTTCTAGTTTCTTTTTCTTTTTGTCTTTTTGAGGCAGGGTCTCGTTATGCAGCTCAGGCTGGCTTTGAGCTCACTTTGTAGCCCAGGCTAGTCTCAAACTCAAAACAATCCTGCCTCAGCCTCCCGAGTGCTGGGATTACAGGCGTGTGCCACCACACACCCTTTTTAATTTTGAGACAGTGTCTCAGTAAGTTGCTCAGATTATTCTTGAATCTTTCTTTTTTTTTGGTTTTGGTTTTTCTCCGGTACTGGGAATCAAACTCACGACCTCGTGCTTGCCGGGCAGGCGCTGTTCCACTGAGCTAAATCCCCAGACCCCTTATTTTTGAATCTTACTAGCTTTATTTACATCATTTTATAAGTTGCATCTTTCTTTCTCTATGAAGTTTTGAATAAGCCCTGAACCTAGAGCTGGTAGAGCTGGTGGCAGCACGGTCTCCCCATGGCCTTGTTCACGGGGCCGCGCAGCCCCAGCAGCCCTGGGATCTGTGAGCATCCTGGCACGAGATGCTGTGACTCAGTCCCGGGTGCTCCCAGAGGGGCATCTGCTCCTCCTGCCCTTTCCTGTGATCTGTCTTCGAAGGCAACTTTAAAACAAGCCCAGGGCTATCTGTCCACCGTGTGTCCACCCATCTGTCCACCCCTGCCCTGCTCACCAAGGCTGTCTACACCTTTCAGTGCTTCCAGATTATTCTTTACCTATTTGACAAGCTGCTTCCTTCATTCCATTATAAAGTTTTAAATTGATTGATTGATTGATTGAGACAGGGTCTCGCAAAAAAAAAAAAAAAAAGAGACAGGGTCTCGCTATGCAGTTCAGGCTGGCCTTGAGCTCACTTTGTGGCCCAGGCTGGTCTTGAACTCAAAATGATCCTCCCGCCTCAGCCTCTCAAGTGCTGGGATTACAGGCTTGCACCACCACACCTGGCTCTGGAGTTTTAAATTTGAATAAGCCACACTTTTAGCTGCTGTTACAATTTAAAATTTTATGGGATAATTGTAGGGTCACACGTGTTTGTGGAAAATAATAGAGATCCTGTGTACGCTGTACCTGGCCCCTACAGGCACCATGAAATTGCAGGACACAGTCACAACCCAGAGGAAGCCCCCCCATGCCCATCCAGGCCCTGGTGCTGATTGTCCTTGCTCTGGGTATTCCCTCCCTAATGTCCCCAGTCACCACCTGTCACTGGGAGTCCCTCACTGTGTGCCACGTGGTACCAGCTCTGTCTGGAAGCCTCCCACTGACCTGGAGTGTCGGCTGAAATGAGGAGTGTTCAGCTCCAGACTCTGGGGCAGAGCAGAGAGGCTTTCTTTGCACTGGGCCCCACTAATTAACCAGAGAGCACCTTCAGGGGTCTCACTGCCTTCAGACAAAGGCCCCAGCACAGTTGATCCCCTGACTTTGGTGCACCTTGAAAATTAAGCAGCACCCATGGACGAAAAAGCAAATCTGAACCAGGCACGGCAACACACACACCTGTAATCCTCCCTGCTCAGGAGGCTGAGGCAGGAGGATCTCAAGTTAAAGCCAGCTTAGGCAACTTAGCAAGAGCCTCTTGCTAAGGTAAGTAAATAAACGAAGAGGTCTGGGGATGTAGCTCAGTGCTCCCTGGGTTCAGTCCTTAGTACCGCAAAAGAAATAAAAAATTGTTTAAAAATTTCCTCAGAATGAAGTCACATTCCCCCCCTCTGGGCCTCTGTGGCCCTCTGCCCTTCTCTCCTGCCCCTCCCCCAGGGGGCCCGACTGGCCGCACCACTCCCTGACGGCAGATCACAGCTCTGAGTGCGGGCAGGGGTTTGGTGTGTGTCCGAGGTGTCCCAGGGCCTGGCACAGAAGGTGCCCAGTGCTTGTGGTGTGGGTGAGCCCCAGGGAGGAGTCCAGAGATGGTGCCACTCGAGTTTAGGCCACAAGAGCCCCGGGGAGTGGGTGGGGTGGAAGGGTGTTCGGTGGCGTCCAGTCTGGGGAATACTGGAAATGGTAAGTGCCTGGGAGCACGCCCTTCCTCCTCGGGCCCTTGTGGGTGGGTGCCCTCCATGCTGAGTGCAGACAGACCCCGCACCCACTGGTCTTGAGGCAGCGCTGGGCAAGGCTGCTGCCCCCTGCCCCGCACCCTGAGGCTAGACAGGCCAGGCGCCGTGCCCGGAGGGGGTGCTGAGTGCCACGGCTCGCACGGCGCCCCGATCACAAAGCCCGTGTGCCGCACACGCGGACGAGAGTCCTGGGAAGTGCTGCTCCCGCTGGGCCTGAGCAAGTGCGGGCCAGCTGGCAGGTCTGGGGGCAGCGGCCCTCGCTCCTCCCAGCATCCCGAGCCCCAGGGAGCCCGGTGGACACAGCCTGTGTGCATGGCGCCCTCACCAGCGGCTGGAGAGGTGCTGTCGCCGAGGCTGAGTCGCCTGGCTGTGTGGCAAGGAGAGGGGCCCAAGCCCGGCAGGACATCCCTCTGACCGTCCCCCCACATCCTGCAGGGCTGTGGTGGTGGGGGAGGCAGGGGCAGTTCGTGTTTCCCAGCCATTCAGAGGTGGACAGGAGGACACAGCCCTCGGTGTGTGCCTGCTGCAGGTGCCCTGCGTCCTGCCGGTTGAGCACCTCTGCACGGCCAGGGTCCTACTCCTCCTCCGGGTACCCCCTTCCTGTGTCATCCCCATCTTCTCTGCCTTTCTCCCGCTGCCCCAAAAGCCAGAGGGACAGTGCCACTGCCTTATATGGTCTCTGGATCAGCAGCGCAGGGCAGAGGCCGGTAGGGACGCTCCCCTGCTCCCCGACACTGGGCTTGGGTGTCGGGGGCCAGCAGGTACGTGACGGTGGCGTGGAGCGTGGCCGCACTCAGGGTGCCGAGAGCAAGGCACAGCGTGGGGGGCATGCAGACCCTGACCAGAAAGAGAAGCACTAGCCAGACCCACGGGCTTCAGTGGCTGCCAGCGCTGCTGGTAACCAGGCGGGGCGCAGGCGCCTCCTTCAGAGCACAGAGGCTTCACCCGGCAAGCCGGTGGCCCCAGAGCAGGTGGCGCTGTGGGAAGTGGAAGCGGCCACCTGCAGAGTAGGGCACGACCACCACACGTCCGCCCACGGGCAGCACCAGGGGTGTCACCTGCCCTCGTGCAGACAGGAGTCCTCTGGGCGTGTCGGGGCCCCGGAGCATCTGGCCCGGTTGGCAGCTGCCTTCGCGTGGGCCTCGGCCGGGGGAGGAGCGGGCAGGGCGCACAGGCAGGTGGCGGGTCCCTCCCGGCTCCCCTCTCCTGTGCCCCGCAGCTCAGCCCCGCCCTGCATCTTCTCCAGAGCCGGGCATCTGCCTGCCTGTCCCTGCTACAGCAGCCAGGTGTCAGGGGGGACCCCAGGCTGGCGCACCTGCAACGGCGGGGGAGCCAGTGGCCTTAAGGGCGGCACCAACTCACGCCGCGTTGCCGGGTGTCTGCCCCTGCCGCTCACGGATGCCCCTCGGTGCCCTGGCCCCATCTCCTGACGAAGGCCCCATCCTGCTTGCAGCCTGCTGGAGTCACCCTGGTCAGCATCTTCGCCAGTCCCGACGACCAGATGTTGTGGGCTCTGGACAGCAGGTGGAACGTGCACGTGCGCACCGGGGTCACTGAGGAGATGCCCGTGGGCACCAGCTGGGAACACGTGCCAGGTAGGGAGGAGATGCCCCGCCACCCCACACAGGCCACCAGCAGCAGCAGCACGTCGCTGGCTGTGGCCCTGTGCGGGCGGCCCGGCACCACGCTCGCGTGGAGCTGTGGGTCCGCAGCCCCGTGGCCCCCTTGTCTGCTGGCGCCTGTCCCCCACTGCCACTGCTCCGTGCCTGGCTCTGTCTCCGTTCTGCCGTTTTGCTGAGGCAGGAGGTGGGCATGGGGAGCCAGGAGGCCTCCCGGTGCTTTGCGGTGAGGGTTTCGGGCCATCCAGGCTCTGTGTCCTTCGGCTGCGGCCGTCACGGAGTGGTCGCCTGCCGGGGGGAGGGCAGCTTCCCCAGTGGCAGGCGGCACAGGACACCCTGTCCCACGGGCCGTGCCGTGGACAAGCCTGGTGTCTAGGACAGTCTGGGAGGGGCTGGGTGCTGATGGTGCCGTCTGTCCGCAGGGTTGCAGGCCTGCCAGTTGGCGCTGAGCACCAGGACCGTGTGGGCCCGCTGTCCCAATGGTGACCTTGCCCGCCGCTATGGCATCACAGACAAAAACCCTGCGGGTGACTACTGGAAGAAGATCCCTGGAAATGCACTGTGTTTCACAGGCAGGTGCTGGGGCGTGGCGGGCTCTGTGCCCCCTGGGCACCCTGGGCCAGGTCGGTGGGGCTCGTGGAGAGGTAGCCCCCACATGGCCCTGCATCTCAAAGCCAGAGCTGAGGTGAGGCCAACTGTTGGGGGAGGAGGCCATGCAGGCCCTGCAGGCCCCAGGCTGAGCCAGGGTGCTGTGGGCTGCTCGGACGTTGAAGGAATGAACCCAGGGTGGACCATGGCTCAGCCACGACCCCACAGGCCGCGCATGGCAGCGACTGAAGTGGAGCAAGGCCCCTGGCCTGTGCGCTAACCCCGCCCCCCCCGTGCCCCCGTCCCCAGCTGTGTGGTGAACAAGCTGTGCCTGCCTGTCGTCCCTACAGTGACCTCGTCAGACGAGCTGTGGGCTGTGGGTCCCCCTGGCTACCTCCTCCAGCGGCTGACAAGGACATTCAGCCACACACACGGCACCCTGAGGAGCGGCCAGGCAGCCGCCCCACACCCTGAGGACCTGGAGGACGAGTGGGAGGTCATCTGAGGGACCGGGCCCCTGGGCCGGGAGGAGGCCCAGCTCAGTGGCTCTGCAGCTCCGAGAAGGCCGGCCTCGTGACACGTGTCCAGACACGCCCAGCCACGCCAACACCCACACTTGTCATTCACGTTCTTCCTGTCTCGTTCTGGAGCCCACGGCCTCGGCCGAGTGCCAGGACTGCCCCGCAGCAGTGGCGCCTGTGGCCTCGCGGTTGCCTGCAGGTGGGGACAGGGCTGCTGCCCGGTTGCTTGTGGAGCGAGCCTGTGCGCCGTGAGGCTGTCCACCCGCACCTGTGTGTGGGAGGCATGGAGCCTCTTGGCAGGAGCCGGAGCCAGGACGGGGACACCCGGGCAGCACGCGGGGGCTGGGGGCGCAGCCACCGTCACACACCCCTGCCCCTTCCTGAGACACCGCACCTTGGCTCACGCCGTGCTGGGCCAGGCAGGGCCAGGTCGTCCGCATCTGTGGCACTGGGCTGTGTGCAGTGAGGACGCAGTGCCACAGCCCTCTGTCGCCTGCCACCCCACCTCCAGGGCCGCAGGTGCTAGGACGGGAGGCGCACACCAGTGCCGGGCCGGTTAGTGGGCTTTGAGACGCCATGGGAGTGACGTTGAGCTGGTGCCACTGTGGCCATCACAAAGCCAGACACATCCTGAGGATGGCTCTACTAGGCATTGCCTTTGTGTTTGTTGTTGTACAAACCCTCTTGAGATACCTCATCCAAAATCGGATCTTACAAATTTAGAGAACCATGTCTTCTGATCTCCTCCCGAGCTCTGTCCTGCGCCTGTCCAGCCGTGGTCACAGGGTTGCTCCTCCAATGGACAGTGGCCAGGGTCCATCACCCGGGCTCTTGGGGTCAGCGGGGGCACTGCCCGCTGGCACTGAGCTCTGTGCTGGGGCCAGGCCAGTCCTGGCTGCCGCGGCTGCTTTTTTTAGCCACCTCTGCCTAGCGACACTCGATGCCTGCTTGTGCTGAATGAGCTGTCAGGAGCCCCAGGCCACAAGTGACGGCGGTAAAACACGGCTGTGACAGGGCCCACAGCCACGCAGGGGGAGGGCAAGGTGTGGGGCCAGTCCTGTGTCTTTCTTCACCTTCCCAGAACCCTCCTTGGCGAGCCTGGTGTCGGTGCTGTGCCTTGCCTGACTTCACGGTGGTGGTGCCCTCCTGGGCCCGGGACGTGAGTGCAATGAAGCCAAGTCTGATGGATTCTCGAACTTCCACCTTCGGCGTGGTGTGCAGTTTTCTTTCTGGTTTTCACCCTCGGTTGTGCTTTGAGATCGTGCAATAAACTTGATTTTTTGCAAAGCTGGGCAAGTCTGGCCCTGGAGCTGAGAGAAGCCCCCTTCAGCAGTGCCCCCGAGGGCCAGGCTGTGGGCCTGGGGACCTGGCCCGTGGTGAAAGTCATCGCCATTTGCATTTGCCCAGGCGTGGCCGCTGCAGGGCTGGACGCACCCCCCAGCGAGCAGTTTGTCTCCTCACGGCCACAGGCAGCGCTGGAGATGCAGTCCCCAGCCAAGGAGCAAAAGCTATACCAGAAGTGCATTGTAGGAGCTAACATTTGAGAAATGTTATATCCAAGGGCCTGGGAAGCAGCCTCAGCAGGAAACATCAGAGATGTTGTCAGGAGACCACAAAGCTGACGGGACGTGAAGCCTGAGGAGCCAGGTGCCATCCCAGCACTCTAGGAGGCTGAGGCAGGAGGATCACAAATCCGAGCCCAGCCTGGGCAAAACAATAGCGAATGGATTAAAGAAAGTTCAGACTAGAGGAGGAAACAGTCGGATTAACTGATGGCCAGAGCTTTCTAAACTCAAAATTTCAGGAAGGAGGGCGGGGCTGGGGATGTTCAGGGCACAGGCCATGGGTGACAGGTAGGAGCCCTGAGGGCTGGGGCCACACCAGTCAGCTCAGCGGGGCGCACAGACACTGCGTGAGACGGCAGGAGCCACAGGTGTGGGTGCAAGAGCAACCTCAGCTGCTGTGGCTCACTGCTGAGTTCTGGGGGCAGGGTAACAGCACGTGGATTAAACAAACTTGAACGGGGGCGGGGCAGTGATCTCGGATTTACTGATGGCAAGAACTGTCTGGACTCAGAATTGATAGGGCCAGGCATGGTAGTGCACACCTATCATCCCAGCACTTGGGAGGCTGAGGCAGGAGGATCCCATGGGCTCAAGGCCAGCCTAAACCACAGAGCAAGACCCTGCCTCAAAACAAACTGATGGGGAAAGCCACTGAAGAAAGTTGCTGTGTAGATTTGATCCCAGCTCCTGCACATGGCTGGGGTGCGGTTGGGTAGCGGAGGGCCTGGCGTGCACAAGGCCTCGGGTTTGACCCGCAACACCCAGAGCAAGCCTGGTGTGATCACCTCAGAGCCTTCCAGATCTGGAGGGACGCCCTATGACCCGGGCGGGGCACATCCTAAGGCCACAGTGGCTCCAAGGAGGGGCGCTTGTGGGCACCCAGGCACGTGTGGACAAAGGAGGGGAAAGCACGCTTCACCACCGCAGACACCTGTGCCTGAGGCACAGGGACCGTGGAGCGCTTGGGGCCAGCGCTGGTGCAGCCCCCTGGGAAGGCCACAAGCCCCGCCCTGGAAACGTGTCCTCGGGAACAGTCGGGCTGGGGCACAGCCCAGGGTGTTTATGACCCACAGTGCCAGTAGCCACCTGCCGGAGGGTGCAGGTGAAGCCCCTGCTGGAGGTGGGCGAGTGCAGCAGGGCACGCAAGGTGCTTCTGCCACGGGGCAGATTCGAGACTTAATTCCAGGGCACAGGAGGGGCAGCAGGTAACAGGTTCTCTACTTGGGACGAGAAGCTGGGGTCAGCATGGCTGCTTCTCAGCATATACCTTTCTATATCTTTCAAGTTTTGAGCCATGTAAATGTAATTATTTATTCCAAAAATAAATTTACATTTCAAAAGTTCAGCTCTAACACTGTTCACAGTACCAACATTATTTGAGTCAACTATCACAAAATAATCACCAGAGAAAGGCATCTCTGACAGTCCTACTTACAAAGGGCTTTTGAGTATGGGGAAATACTAAATTGGGGGCAGGGTGGAGCCCTGGCCTCTGTGCCCGGCCCTCGTTCTGTCCCCAGTCCCCACAGCAGACAGCTTCGCGTTTGTAAAGCAGATCTAGCAAAGACCCGTGTTCATACGCGACCTGAGTGAAGCTGCAGGGGTTCACGGTCCTGTCTGGGAGCACTCGGGGAGGCCAGTGATGGCCCCGGCAGTGTCAGGGGCCCTGCCTCACCCTGCCCTGGGCTCCTGCACACAACCAGTGTCCCAGAGCCGACCAGAGTTCTGCAAGCAGAACGGGTTCTAAGCACTGAAGGCCCCGTCCTCGGCTGTCAGCGGGGGCAGTGTCACCGGCACGGGCGTCGGTCCCAACCCCTGCGGCCCCACGCTCCGTGCTGCCTGCTCCGTGCTGACGTGGGGTGGAGCTCAGTGTTTGAATGCATCTGGGTGAAGGCAGTCACTGCCCAGGGCAGGCTCTGGGGAGTCCCCACACGTGGAGTCCCTTCCCGGGTCCCTGGGGACCTGCCTGTCTGGGGGGCCCTGGGCTGACTCGGGAGCTGGTCTCCCACCACAGAGGAAGGAGGAAGAGCCCTGGGAAGAGCAGGAAGCTCCTGGAACGGGAGACAGCCTCGGCAGCCAGCTCCCTCCTCAGGCGCCCTGTCCTTCAGTCCCTTTGGGAGCTGGGGACAAGGTGAGGGACAAGGTGAGTGGCCCCATCCAGCTGGAGGGTGGTCCCCACCCCTTCCCAGGAGCGGAGGCCGCGCCCAGCAAACCCTGCACAGGGAACATGCTGGGCCCAGGCTCGGGGGACAGGCGACAGGTGACAGGCAGGACAGACAGACGGATGCCTCTGCAAAGACTGATATATGTAAAGTGCCAGGTACAGCGCTCTGGAAACCAGTCCGGCCGGCCGCGCCGGGGCCTAGCCCTTGCCCATGAGGTCAGCGGCTGCAGGAAGGGCGGCACCTTGTCCCCTGCCCCAGGACACCTGCGGTGGCTTGAGGAGCCTCCACTCCCCCTCAGCAGGAACGGGGCAAAGACCTGGAGTCCGGAGTGAGCAGGCTGGGCCAAGGCCTCTGGGCAGTGGGATCAGGAAGGTGTGGGGTGGGGGTGGGTGGAATTCCTGCACTGGACGTGGGAACCTGCGTGCCTCACCCAGAGAAAAGCACCTCCTGGGTGGAGCACGCCCGAGGAGCCGTCAAGGACGCCTGCCAGGACACGGGGCCGGGGCAGGGGCATGCCCAGCTGGCTCTGGCCTCGCAGTCCCCCCCCCCCCGGGCCTGCTGTATTCAGCACACCCTCAGGCTGACTCTGGCTGGGGTGGCACGCGTCCTCAAAGCCCTTCCCGGACCCAGAGGACCCAGCGACCGAAACAAGCCGCATGCTGGGCCACCGCCCTCCGCACAGCAGCCGCCGCCAGATAACCCAAGGCCCTGCTTATCTGCTGGGGCCTTTCCCAGGTCTCCCGCGGCCCTCGGCCCGACTCGCGACGCTGGCCTGGCCTCTGCCCGCTGGCCTCCGCTTCCTCCCCATCCCACCCACCCGACCCGTCACCCCAGCAGCCTTCTCTGCCCTCACCTGGCCAAGCTCAGGGGTCCCGGGCACAACCAAGTCATTTGTCGATGGGAGAGCGGTCCCAGTTGCTTCCTCACGACCCTGCCCGCCCTTCCCAGGCCCCGCTGCCCAGGGCCCCCTCGGCTGGGCCTGCCGCATCGCCCCGCAGCACTGCACTACTGCTCCCTGCTCTGCGAGCTCTGGGGGTGCCTGCCCCGGGAAGGTGGTGCTCACCCTGCACCCCCGCCCCAGGCTAACACATGAGCAGCTGTGCACATGGAAGGGAAGCCTGCACCCTAACAGGCACCCACCTCCCCAGGCAGAGCCGCTCCACCAGCTCCTTGTGGCCTCCTTAGCCCAGCCCCCTGAAGCCATGGTGGCCACTGGGGTCACCTCTCATGTTCTCCAAAGCAAATGCCCCCCTGTGGCATCCTGAATCTGAGGAAGGCCGGGGACCTCTGATGTCGCCGGCTTGTTAGTATCCACTGCTGGCCCCAAGTTCCATGGCTGCGACCTGGCAGCAGGACACAAAACCTCACTCCACTCTGGAGCTGAGACCAGTGCAGGGCCCTGAACACCCACAGCCCGCCACGCTTCCCCAGGATGGGGTCACATCCTTCTCGGGGCCTTTGAGGAGCCACTCCAACCCCTTGCTTGGCATGCTCCCCTGGGAAAGGGGCAGCGTGGGCAGCAGACGCCCCTGCCAGGCTGGCTGTGGGGTGCTTCGCTATGGGACTGCTGGCCCTCCTCTCCTGGCAGGACATCAGCCCCATGAGCCAGTGCAGGTTGAATTTCACATGTGCCCAGCAAAAATCCAGGCAGGGCAGCCTGGCCTGAGGCCCCTCAGCCAGGGTCCCTCTGTCCTCAAGAATAGGACACAGTCAGGTCCACATCCTCAGCCCCCGCAGCTGCTGCTCTCCAGGGGCATGGACCACCCTCCAGCCACCACGGCCACCACCTAACAGCCGGCCACCTAACCCCGGTATCAGGGCTGGCCACTGTGGCATGAGAAGGGGCGGCACGGCCGGGTACAGGGAGCCGACTGGCACCCGCCCCCGTTGCCGGCCCAGCCTTACTTGACCTCCAGGGCCGCACTGGGGACGTCAGAGGCCCCGTGGCCTCCACGCCTTCCCTCCGCTCGGGCCCTCCCCAGCTGCTGCTCTGCTCCTGCTCAGCGGCCAACATGAGACAGCGGCCCCATCCAGCTGGAGGGTGGTCCCCACCCCTTCCCAGGAGCGGCGGCCGCGCCCAGCAAACCCTGCACAGGGAACATGCGGGGCCCAGGCTCGGGCCCAGTGCCCGCGACAGGCGACAGACAGGACAGACATGGATGCCTCTGCAAAGACTGATATATGTAAAGTGCCAGGTACAGCGCTCTGGAAACCAGTCC